AGGGAACAATACACTAGTGATGCCATTTCAACCATAGTCCGATAGAGCAGAGACTTCTCCGCTAGACATGCAGGATGGAACCAAGCAAATTAATGCTTTGCCTTTGTGTTCATTAGACACAGATTTCACCTTGTTTTTCTGCAGCTTCAGCCTTCTGTGGACTCTTTGCTATGAGAGGATTTCACTTGTAGTGAATTAATTCCTAACTGAGCTTACACCGGGCTTTACCATGTCTTATACAACCCTCTTAGTGACATGTTGACAACCTGATCTAGTGGAAGGTGTCCCTGCTCATGGCAGGGGGGTTGGAACTAGATGATCTTTCAGGTCCCTTCCAACCCAAACCGTTCTATGATTCTTTGATTCTATGATTCTATATTTAACCCTTGAGTGACATAAAGGTTTAAAGCTATGTCACGTCCTCTGAACTATACCATGAGGTGGATGGCACATATGAGATGAGCAGTATCTACATCTGGACTACCCAGATTCCAAGAAGTCAGGTCCTTACAACCAAGCTCCAGGTTCTGGATTAAGATGAAAGCAAAATAAATGCACTATCTCATCAGTATAATTCAAAGGATCAGCTGTCTTCCAGGTTTGTACAACTAGAATAAAATTTTCAACCCAACCAGATAATTTTTCAAGATTCAATTGTCTCAGTTATGTTAATTCAAGCATAATATTTCTGGGCTGTCAAAGAATCCCAAATCAGGGATTCTGAGATTATAAAGCTTGAAACCACTGTCTTTGTTAAATTATTCTCACTGTCTTCACAGCTCTGGCTGGACAGAGAGTAACAACTGCAAAGGAAATTGTATCACAGCCCCAACATTTCAATGTTTCTTCTTTACAAATGGCAATTAAAGATGTTTTCACTAAAACCAAAGTATATCCCTTAATAATAATTCTGTCATTCAATGGCTCCTTGTGTTCTGTTCTCAATTCTCACATTGAACCATCGTCTGAGTGCCTAAAGTCCAAGGATGCCATCAAATGCACAGCTGGCAGCTGGCATATAGGGTTTCTTTTGTGTTCCTCCTCCTAACAGAAATATCCATAGATTGTAAGTTTTGAAAGTGCAGATATACTCATTTATCCACTAAATGTCATGTGTTTTTATTAACAAAGGCTTTAAGAAACACTACTCACCATAGAGGAATTCTGATGAGCAGAAAATCAGTTCCCTAAGTGGAACTTGGCCAAGACTGAATACTGTGTCCTGTCACACAGTTTCTAGACCTGTGAGTCCTTGGGAAAACAGAAGACAACAGTCTGCAAATCTAAGACAAGGTCATGGCCCTAGCTCTTCAGTTTGATGGCTATAGGCCTGTATGGCATAAATGAATATACATCTATTGCAGAGGCTCCAGCCCATGATACTGAAACATTTGTCAGTTGATCAGTAAGCTTTTGAGATAAAAAGATGCAGAGGAACAAAAATATTAAGAAACCACCATACCTCCCACACATTCATAGGATGAATCATTAAGAGGCCAATTCTGCAAAGTGCTCCGCACTTCTCTGCAGTTCTGCACAGGAAAAATTAGGCAATGGCATAAAACAAGAAAAAGTACCCTTTGCGACTATCCCACCACCAACTGCTAGGAGCTTTTCGTTAAAGATTACCTCTTTCTTCCGTCAGCCCACACATGGGGTTTCAGATGTCAGTAGCAGAACAAGTGATGTTTGAATTTAGCCCTGTCCACCTTTGTTATTACTCTTCTCAGCAATTGAAGGATAGAAGCGACCAAATAACTTGGAAAATCACTGGCTTTTTGAGCACTAGCTGAACTACGATGTATCCTAGGATGGCTGGTGTTTTTTCCGCTTTGGGAAGGCAATCATGATCAGGTCAGCCATGGGCCTAATTGCTTTGTTCTAAATAAACTTGGTGCTGTGCAAACCATTTAAACCATTTGTGGAACCCACATGATGTGGAAACTATACCTTTATGCTATGGTAAGCAGGTGGGAAGCAAAACTGCATGTTTATTACCCGGTGCTATTTGAGTTCGCATCAGCTTGGCTTGCAAGAACAAGACCCTGCAGATGTAATCTACAGACATTCATGTATACTGATGTATTTTTATACCATCTCCTAATCTTCAGCCTTATTTCATCTCAGTTCAAGGTTGATGGGGTCAAGAATGACACGCATATTTGTCTTCGGGAGGTGGAAGCCTGAAATCTTCGGTAACTCAAGTAGTAGAGTTCTAGAGAATAGCAGTAAATAATGTCACAAATACTTAAAAGAGGATAAGCAAGGAATATTTTTAAATATGATTCCATTTCTTCTTGTCTGTTTTCTGGTTTGCTTTTTTATTTTAATTTTAAAAGTGGTCATTAATCTACAGTAATACATTAATGTGGTGTGGGTTGGGGTTTTTTGTTTATTTGTTTGTTTAAATTGTATGGCATATTGTGTTCTATTAAAAAAAGTTCGACTAAAGAATTATGCAAAAGGCTTTAATAATTTAAATACTCGTTCAGCCATATGGAAATGTACAATCTGTTTTATGTTCTGTGGGAAACCAACAGTTGCTATAAACTTAATGAATTTTAAAACCTCCCATCCATTATTTAATACAACAATTTGCTAAAGTAATACTAACTCTCATTCTGTTACAATTTGCCATACTGGAGATGCTTAAAGATGAGTCAGGGATACAAAACTCTAATAGTGTTCAAAAATCCTCCATAGTTCAGGAGGATGGAGCACTGGAGTTTAGTCCCGCTGTCTCCGAAAATAGTATCACTTCATCCTTATGTGAGAAAATGTCATTATAATATTATACAGAATGGAAGACATAACATAATAGTATCATTAGTATATTTTTTTTCATGTAGTGCTTTATAAAAGAGATAAAGCTGAAAAAAATAAAAACAGACATGTAAATATTACGATGAAATACATTGTTCTTATTTAAATAAATTTCCTTGAGCAATATCTTCTTAAAAGGTGAAAATCAAACACTAATATTTGTCTCACTGTATAAAAGTGGCAGTATTAATTATAAAGATCCCAATGGTCTTATGCTTAGTTCATCCTATTCTTAAGTTTTCACAGCAAAAATATTAAAATTTGCAATATTACCAAAAAGATGCAAACCTGTCAAATATATTACTCTGAAGTAAATTAACAATTAATTTATAAGAACCTACCATAGGAACTATTAAGTGGACAGTAGTAATGGTTTTCTATATAAAATCTATCAAAAATTGTTGGAGAAAATATATGAAGCTTAGCTGACAGCTGATGAAATCTGCAATATGGCCACAGAGAAATAAGTTGCAGATCATCAAAGTTAGCTCTTGTGCAGAAACATCCACCAAAAGTTCATTAATTTCATTTCTCACTGGAGAACAGCAGGAGGTTTCCATAATGCAACCATCATCAGAAGCTGATTCAACGCTGTACTTTAAGCTTTACCCGTAGTTGGAACTTGCAACAGTTTTGATTTTTTGGTGCTCTGATCTCTCTTGCTCTCCAGAAGGCTATGTAAATATAAAAATCTTCAGCACGACGACAGCTCTCTCTAAAGCACTGGCAACCAGTCTTAGGAGAAGACTGTTCAAAAAAAAGGAAGGAACAAACAGGTTTAGCTGGACTGGCAAAGCAATATTGGTAAAGCAATACTTTATACATAAACCAGTAAACAAGGTTGTCATTAGAAGCAGGAGAGATTTGTGGCCTGTGCCCTCCAGACACACATGCCCATAAACATGTGGAGCTCAGAGGACCCTTTGCAGATTTAAAGGTGCTCATCTGTGTAAGTCTTTTTTTAGTCACTCAGAAGCCAAGCCCTGATCTTGCACCAATGAAGGAAAAGTGCACTTTCAGCTATTCTGAATACCAAAAGTACTGTTAGTGATTGATTCTATCTGACCTCAGGCATTTCAATAAGCATCTAGATAAGGACCTAATTAATCCAGGCTCTGTTCATCAACCATGGATGGAAAGCTGCAACCTCAAGAAGGTGCTTCAGTCTTGCCCAGGTCAAGGGCGACAACATTTCTAGCTTAGACATCGCACCCAAGTTGCTGAAATTAGGTGTGATGACCAACTGAAGGTCTCCCTGTGTACAAGTGCTCCTAGCAAAGTCCATGGAGCTTTAACTATTTACATTATTAAAGATAATCAGTATATGTCTGTTCTGCTTTACTAGGCCTGCATCCAGCACCAGAACCAGCCAGAACTGTTTCTGGCTCCACCTTAATTAGGAAAGGGTTCTGCTTCCCAGGGAGAACATTGGCAGCTTTATGATTCCCCCCATCCAAACTGGCTAGACACCAAAACAGTTCCCTTTTGAAATTTGTCAACTTCTATTTAGTTCAAATTCTGAATGGAAACTTAGGTTGTTTTATTTTCTTCAGACATTAACTTAAAGGACTTTTTTTTTTTTTAAATTTAGTTAGTTAGTTGAAACTCTTAAGTCAGGAATAGAGCCTCTAAATTTTCAATGTCCTATTCTGGCTGGTGGAGAACAAAGCCCCACAGATTCTCTCATAGTAAGAGAAAAGCTCCAGTAAGTTACTTAGTGCCTCACTTTGGTCCTCAAGGTCCTACACAAAATGGAGATGTTTTCTAACTGCAAACTACCCATTCCTGGGAAAAACTCTATAGATGCTGGTCTACATATCAGTAATGCACCTCACCTCACCTCACATGGGAGGTCTTAGTACCACTGCAGGATTAGCTGTGGTGTGGCTGAAGGTGTACAAAAGGACATTTGATTTTTATTCATCCCCAAACAGAGTAAGATGGAGTTTCTTTGCTTCTTACTTCTCACCAAGAAGGTGATTTTATCCTCTTTTTAATTTATGGCTGCACCACTGAGAACTGGCCCCTGGTCCAGCCTTTAGAAGAGTTGTGCTGCAACTGGAGAAGTAACCGGGCAATTCCCAAACCACCCAAGAGCAGCACAATGAGCATTGCCACCTTATTTCTGTTCAATGAATGCATGCAAAATAAATAACATTAATTAAGACATACTGTACCTCCAGCTGTTTGAATCTTGATGTGTTTATTTCCTTCTAATCTTAATTAGAAAACAAGGAGCAAAGATGGTTAACACATTGTAACATATCACTAATTTAGAACACTTGAAAAAAACATGCAACAAAGGTACTACTGTTCCAAAACCAGTTACTATTATTATGGTTAATAGTGTTATTTTTCTTTAGTTTTTTGTTTTGCAGCAAATGTTGGAAACACTAGTCAGTGGCTAAACTGTGGTGTACGTATGTGACAGCAGCATTTTCTCATATTAAATCTAAACAATTATTACATTATTTCATAAATATGTTTATGATTTGTCTATGAAGTACCTATGAACCTAATGCTTTTTCCCACTGTTCAAAAACATCACATGGAAAAGAAACCGTTTGCACTGGGTTTCATATAAGAACAGAAATAAACCTGAAAGCAAGCACTTACTAACTGTTATTACCGGAATCCAGCACAATGCAAGTAAACACCTTCAAAACTAAAAATAGCGCTGAGGCTCTGCAAGTGCATCTATCTCAGCCTCTTAGTCCTAAAAGGGTTTTCTTTCCTTTGAATTCACAGAGCACTCAGAGCATGGAGAAGCTGTTAAGAAGACAATGTGAATACTGTCAGCATCTGTTCTAGGATCCTTCTGCAAAAGCAAGTGTGATAAAATTTAAATAAATGGGAACAATCACTTTAATGATTATAAATAGTCCCATAAGAGGCTCCAAGGCTAGCCAGTCTGTCTGAAATAATAATTGATTTTTAAAGGAAATACATCCTACTAGAGAAAATTAAACTGAGAAAGCAGGAGAAATGCTATACACAAATTTCCAATACCTTTCGGTGTAGCTTTCGTCTGACTAGAAACCATGGCAGCCGCGTCCGACGGCAGGCCAACATACACACCACCATAGTTCCTGATTTAAAGAAATGATTAAAGAGACATCAGAGTTTAACTGAAACACTTCTCCCTATAATGTCAACATCAAGCAGCAGCATTACAAAGACCAGGGATGGTCAGAGGAGGGAACCTCTGCATGAGCATCCACAGAGGAGCCTTCCCTTCCCACCCTATGGGGAAAGTGCATATTAAGTGCCATGTGCTTGCTAATATGGTGCCAGGCAAAAAGAAACTTGAGGCTAGCTGTTACCCTCAAGTGGGACCCAAGCCTATGAAAGGAGCTATTTTTCACTCAAGTTCCTAGTATTTTTCATTAAATCCCAGCTGTGTTGTGACAATAAACCCCACCCACTCCACTTCTTCTAGACACTGAATATATCCAACTGAGTACAGAGTCAATCTGATAGTAATGTTCTAATTGGGACCACCGAAGCACCTCACTTCAGGCAATGCACAACAATTAAACAGCACTTTGACATCTCCTTGTTAAAAAATAGAGCCTGCATCCCCCTGCTTAGGGCCACACTTAGATAAAACTGTTAGTAGAAGCACAAGGGTGGTAAGTACTTTCATAGCCCAGCCCTCTCCCTTTTATGGCCTTGCAGAGCATATTTTCTGGCTACAAGGCCTGTATGAAAAGCAGGACTGATGCAAGGAGGTGAAAAACTGGGTCCTTAAGAGCCTGTGCTGTGCCTGGAGCTACTTGCAGAGACTCTCTTTACAGTGCTCTGCCCCATTAGGTGCCAAATTAATCACATCTTCTCCAGCCCCTGGGGATCTGAGTTGATTTCTGGTTTGTCTGATGAGAGAGTCACACTTCCTTTGATTTCCAGCTCAGCAGAATCTCCCACAAGTGCTAATGTCATCTTCTGTGGCAGGGCTGGTATGAAGGAGAGAGGTCACTGTCCCTTACTGAGCACATCACCTACAGCTGTGAGGTAATGTGCTCTTCTGGCCACAAAGATTTCCCCTCCCCGACTCACTAACAGTGGCTAGACTCATCAATACTGGGCTCTATGAGAGATTTCCTACTCTCTTTTCTTCTTTTTTCCTCTGCTTTGGTGGTGTTGGTGGCAACTGGGAGGAGAAAAGGAAAGATGTACAGCTGGTGGCAGAACTCTCTGCAGCCTATTGCAAGTAAAGCCAGTCCCAGTAGAGCACCTACCTTCTTTTGTCATCATCTGATACAGATTCTTCTGCTCTGTAACATCAAAAGATATAAAGCACATCAGCAGATTGTTTCTTTCAGATGCTTCAACACCATCTGGGTAGATTCAGGAGCAAGGGAAGAAGCGGATTATTACTGATCCCAGATTAATTCAGGTCATCCACAACTCAATGAAGTATTCACACAGGCACAAAAAGAGTGACAATTTCCCAATGTAATGTAAAGAAGAAAGAAAAGGCTTGAGAATAGATGCAGTTTAGTTTTCATTACCCCCACCAGTGATGCCTGAAAGTAGGTCTGGGAGCTGAAACAGGTCAATTAACACTTTTCCTGAGTGAGTCTCCATACTGGCTCCACACATAATAGTAACATAAAGGCTCTGCACGTAACAGGACTGAGTCTGGACTGCTATTCCACCAAAAGAGGACTAGAAGGGACTGGGGCATCCATGCTAGCATGGGAATGGCGATGAGAAAAATAAACTTCTACAGCAGCTGTGCCAAAAGATGTTACAGAGCCCCTCCGTACAATGAGGTACTGCAATTCCTGAAGTCAGAGTTGTTTGCAAACCAAATAATTGGTACTAATCCTCCATAAATGGGCAATTACTTCTCTTTTACTGTTAGGGTAAAATCACAGGTCAGTCTGTAGGTTGCTAGGGAGTCACGGAGGTTTACCTGAAATACTGTCCACTGTAGCAGGGGGGTAAATAATCAGCACTGATGTGAAGGCAAATGTAGTATGGAAAAAATAAACTTACTCCCTAAGGGTATAGTGCTTGTGCTGCAGTCCCAGTCTGTGCCCCAGCATTAGTCTTCACACAAATCACTCACCCACCTTTAATTAAATATTTGGACTTTGAGCTCAGCTTGCATGGCTGCGTATGGATCAAGGTAGCAGCTGCACTTTAGCTTGGTCTGCAACCTACCAACCTAGCAATAAAAATAGAGGCAAGATAGGTTGAGTGCTGTTAAATCCACAGACATCCTTAACCCCTTCCCTGGGGGGCAGCTGTGACAACTGCCTGAGAAGGGGTACTGCATTGCAGCTGCTCAGGGAGCCATGAGATATGGCCACAGCGGTGCCTGGGGAAGGTTGCAAACAGCAAAGGGGCACCACGACCCAAGGTGGGCTCCACTGTAGAAAAGTTCATGCACAGGCTGTTCACTCAGATATCCTCACCTGAATATTCCCATTGAAGGATCAAGTGCCTAGACAATTGGGGGAATGCAGAGATACTCCCCATCATGAGCTGATCCATGAATTTCTGATCTGATCCCTAGGTGATGAAACTGATAGCAGGCCTTTACCCAGTGTTAGGGATAAATCCATTCTGTAGCCTTGAAAGACATTTCTGAACTATGATATTTAACAATAATAGATGACATTTCTTTTTGTAATTTAATTATTCTAAGAGGTAGATGTGCCTACTGTTTAATTATCAGGGATGTATGCCATTACTGATCCCTGAAGTCAATGCCATTTTGGCACAAAGTACAGAGAGCTCATAGCAAGCCTTAAATGCAAGAAACCACCACTTAAACCTCAGCCAGCACTCTCCTTGAAGGGTACTAAATACCTTAAAAATTTATTTAGTGGGAAGTGGGACTACAAGTGGGAAATTATCGTACCCCTATCTTCTTTCTAAGTGGCAGAACATTACAAACTATCCTTCCTGCATCACCACAGTGAATAAGGGTACACAATTCCTTCTAATAGAAGAGGTTTGGGGTAAATTTAAGTATGCTGCGGTTTTGCTAAATGATATTCACACAGGGCATAGCACTGAGTGGGGTGAGCCTCCTCATCTGCTGTCTTTGTCTACATCTTACCACTCAAGAGAGATGGAGCAATAAACTCCTCCTTCTCTGGCCCTCCTGCCACTCCTCCCTGGAGGAGCTAGTGTCATTTCAGAAGGTGTCTCCCATCTCCTCTGATCCCATGTACCCTAAGCCACCCTGCAGTCCTCATGCACGCAGCCAGAAAAATGCAGAGACAACTTTCCTTGAGGTCTTTGAAGCTGCTCTGTCCTAGTGTGGGCCAATTCCAACTGAAGAAAGTGGAAAGCCCATGTATAGCAATCAGTAGAAATAAGCCCTGTATTTTAAGCAAAACAAAATTACAACACTTTAAGAAAGGGACTTTGGGTGCCAAAAGATCACAAACAATCACTTCTGTTGAACCAACTGAATGTGTCACAGGATTGATTTTCTCAAACAACTGGAAACATTTTCTATAATACAGATTAACTACTATCCAGATAAAAGAATCCTTCAAAAGCACTGGCAACTTCATGCACAGCTCAAAGCCTCTAAAATGGAGTTGTAACAATAATAATCAATATTGTCCAACAGGAAATTAATGTCAATGTTTATAAAAACCCAAAAGCCTCTATTAGGCAACAGAGATATTTTTTCTGTTCTAGGAATGTTTTGTAATGGGGCATCACTGGACCATTACTGTCATTCTCTCACCAAAACAAATTATCCAGGTCTATGATTAAGCAGACCAGGGTTTTTTAAGCATTATGCTTTCTTCCTTTCCTCTTAATAGCTACAAATCAAAGTCTAATTTTGCAATACATTTTCCCTTAAATGCACAACAAAAAACACAATCTGGGATTGTATAGGCCATGGCTCTCAGGCTGGGTGATGCCTGGGTGCAATCTGTTGTAGTCCTGCTAAGAAACAGGAGGTGAGCAGAGACAGGAGGAATGTGGAAACTTAAGAGGGGGGAGGGGAAAAAAAAAATAATAAAAAAATTCTGGTGACGGCACTTAAAGAAGAATCCATTTTCCACCTCTTTCCGGGGACCCCTTTCTAAGCAGCATGGGAAGGAGTGCTGCTCCAGTTTATGCATCACGCACATTCACACACCTCTTGCCTTCACACACTGCACACTGTAGCTTAAGGCCCCATTTTGAAAGATGCCCACTAGTTTCACATGTCCAAATTCCCAGGTGCCAGCTGAGCCATTGCAGCAGGTGCTGTTTCTGTGCCCAGGCTGGGTGAACACAGGTGGCTCCAGGGAACAGGGCTGCAGTGGTAACACTCGGCTGTGTGGAAATGAGAATGGAAAGAAGCTCCTCTGCTTTCAGCAGTGCTCCCATTGCCACATCTCCCAGACTCCCAGAGAGTGTATGGGGGATACAGGATTCCAGTACATCCTTTCTCTCTCCCGCTCTACCTCCAACGTGTCTCTAGCTCCTTCTTATGTCAGGGATGAAGGAAGAAACTAGCATTAAAAATATATTTAAATATCTCCATTTACAGAGTCCTCCAGGAAGAGCAAGATGGGATAAGCTTTTCTGCACCAGGAATAGAAGGCAGAAGCAACTTAGCAGTCTGATGTGCTTGTACTTGTGTTGCTGCATCTTCTCTCAGAAATTGTAGACTTCTACTGTAGAGGAACAGAGAGCACGTTTTTCAGCAGGTAGTGTAGGTGGAGTCCTGTAGCTGGTAGGCAGATTTAACAGCAAATCCACATAACAACATTCTATTTTCAGCTAGAATAAATGTTTCTTTTGGTAAAGATTTTTCTGTCCCAAGTGGCTTCCTGTCACCTTCCTAAGTCTGAAAAATATACTTAGTTCAACTGTCAGTTTTTACATCCATCAGTCCTATATCCATTTAACAGTAAAACAAGCAGCTATTTTTTGCATAATATTTTAAATATCAAATGACAGGCTTTCCCATTAATTCATTCTATCCACATTTTTCTTACTTCAGCTTTTATGACTCTGTTCATGCCAAACATTATACAGACTCTTTCTAGCCATGCTCTGTAGTCCTTCCAGAAATGATTCACTAAACTTTGCACAAGTGACAAACTACTACTCCTCAGTTTTGCAAGTATTTCTTGGGAACAAGGGCCTGTCATTTGTATTTGATGGATTTCTTCACAATATTTTGAAACAGGCTTGAGCTGCTGTGTCCTTTCCTTCCTACTGTTACTTATTTTTCTCTGAACTTAGCCACATTGTGATTTTCACAGGCATTGCATTATTTTCTAGCGTATACTTTACCCCTGTTATATCTAAGCTTTTCCAGTCAGCAGTGACATACTTCTCTTTATTAGTAAGGCAGGAGCATTGGCTGTAGCTGGCTGACAGCTTCACTGTCAATTTGAGGGTTGAGTACACAAGGAGAGATCAAGTTCCCAGACCATACGTCCTTCCTGTCACCGTGCAGCCCTTGGTCTCACAGCACTTTGTGTAGGAAGATCATATCATATAGGCCCAGAGGGCAAAGCAGCTTCCCCGTGGTCACCTGGGAGGGCTCAGAGAAGGATCCAGCCCTCCCTCCTTCCACCCAGCTGCTCACTCCAGGAGACGGTTGGTGCCTTGGCAATGAGTCACAGTCAAGAAATGAGAAATCTCTTGAGTTAGAACAACCAGATTCTGTATCAAAAAGTATGCTATAAGTTAGGACACAAACGTCTTTCTGGACCAGAATCAGTGACTGAAATTTTGACAGCAAAAAAAATGTGGGGTTTTTAAAGAGAATTTTTCAATCTTTAGCTGTTAAAAGTGAAAAGGTATAAAATAAAAGCTTGTGTGGATCTATAATGTTAGTAAATATAAATCTGCTTTGTTCATATCCATGAAACTAAAATATTTTTTCTGGTATTTTTCTTCCTTCATAAAAATCTGCTGTTAAATATTGGGATGACCAATTTAGGCTTCTCAGGTCATCACTGCCATTCCTCATTAACAGATCTGTGTTTCCAATGTCTGGCAGCTGGCTCCACTATACTTACCTGAATGAGTAATGGCTCCAAGAGTGTCTCCCAAATTATCCTGATACTTTTTTTGAAACATGACAGATGATCTAACACTAATAAATAGGTTGTTCCCAGTTTTAACTCCTAAAGCCTGGACCTACAAATGCTTACACACACATAAATGCAGTTCTACATATATTCATACCTCTAAGCACAGAATTGTGTCTACTAAATTCATAATTTAACAGTGCTTGCAGTTTTGAAATTTAAATCTACCAAAGAGCAGAGAGATGCAGTTCTAAGTCAGTGACTTAAATTACCTAAATTGAACAACAAAAAAAGGCCCTAATATAAATTTAAAACAGTGGTTTTGTATATATAGAAGTGCTGAGGGCATGGATGAGGAGACTGCATCAAGGAGAAGTTCCTCATAAGCTTGCCTTTTGTAATTTATTTATTGTCTGACACTGCAAACCCAGAAAACAGACTACATGGGCAACACAGATCTCAAGAGTATCTGTGACAACAGTGTTCATCTGCCAAGTGAGACTTGTCATTAGTTCTCAACCACGCTCTGTAATAGCAAGGACAAGCCTGTTGTTGAGCTCTTCTCTCCACTTGTTTATCTGACTTGACAGCCCTCATTTCTACCCCAGGATTCCTCCATCTAATTAGCGCAGTTATTCTAAATGAAGTAAATAAAACTGAAGAATGTTCCTATTGCATAACACGAAAATCTTTCCGAGGTCCCTCAGTCTTAAAGTCTAGTGGCAAATACCAATTATATGAAAAAGAAGAAGGCAAGACCTTGGGAGGACTTTTTAAATGTTTCCTTTGATAGGAAAAAAAAATTTATGGCTGAACAAAGCTCTTCCTCCTCATTTCTGCATCAGCAAATGAAAAATGGGCTGAGAAAGGCTGATCTTTTGCTGCTGCTTTTCTGAAAAACAGAAGTTGTCAAGAGGTAACAGGACATCAGAGGTTCAGACTTTCCACTTAAAGAAAAACAGGATGGGCAGGGCTGCCCTTTGCTACTCAGTGTCAAAGATAAGGGAGAGAAAGAGGAGCCAATAGATATTATCTTCAACGTGGAGAACATCTAGAGAAGGTGGGTACTTTGAAAAGGAAGCCTGGATGAGTTACCAGGTCTCCTGTAAAGAGGGGAAATTTGCCTCAGTGGTTCTTTAAATCTCTCACAGGGCTTGGTGAAAATTTATGTGGTCACTTCATACAACGACATGTCCTTTAGAAAAAGGTGTACTTGTATGTGACAGGGAAGAGGAGTCTAAAGTAACATGGCCACCTCTGGGAGACAACTCTTTCAACAGAAGCAGAGAAAAGACATTTCTGTTAGAGAAGTAATAAGGGAAGGTATCTGTAGAAAAGTAAACAAGACTTGAAGTTATTTTGTGGAGATGGAAGCTGTTACTAAAGACCATAAACATCTGGTGGTGTTGATTATATGTTAGAAGCTGGATGAATCACTTATGACTAAATCTAGTATAATGCTAGTAGAACCGAAGATAAGTCCAGGGTTACGTATTTGAAAGAGTAGACTAAGTACTTACACATCTTTAGTAGTTCCTGTGGCACCTAGAATGAAAAAAAAAAAAAAAAGCATGTTTAGAAGATAACGGCATAATCTTCTAAACCAGCCTATAGTACAGTAAGCATTTTTCTGTCCTTCTGTCCTCAACAATGCAGAAATAGCAACAGGAATTTTCTATTGTCAGAGAACAGGTTTCTCATGATTGCCTAATTTATCCTTAACAATTATCTATACTATCGCTTAAGTCTATCACACTTAGATCTGGACCAGATTCTCAGTGGGTGAAAATGATGCTGCTGTGGATCAGTGCTCAGGTGCAGTCACTCAGGATGAGAGCAGCATAAAATAAAATTCATCTTTCTGAATTTTATATGCTTCACTTTGCTCAGTCTTCTGGTGGTTTTGTCTGCTACAAAGTAACCATGGCTAACCAAGAAGTTACTCCTGATGCCTGTTTATTTTGCCATTTGATTCAGTTGTAGACTTGGCACTCCTTGTGTAAAATTCTGCTCTGTTCTTCCTGCCAGATAAACAAAGTTTTATAAAACAATTAGATAGAACTAACATAAACATTGGGACACAATCCATCTAAAGCCCCAGAAAACCACCCCTTAATTCATCTTACTATTTAACAAAAAAGCAAAAAGACAAAAGCTACCACCTGGCTGCCTGATCTCAGTGATTGATTTTTTTTTTTGGTGACTCAGATGTTTCTTGCTGGGAGAGGAACATTCACTCAAGTACAAACTCTTTCCTGTTCCTCCCAAGTTATTAATGCCATGTTGCTATTGCTGGTATAACACTCGGCTGAGTAACCAGCAAATTATCCCTTCTATTAATTACACAAACTAGGGTAAACATTAGAAAACCTTTCACTTCTCCTCTTCCTCTCAGTCCTTAGCTCGAAGAGGTTATCCGAGCTTACCCTGAAGAAACTACAGTTGTCAATTCAAACGATTTTATGGATTTGGAGGTAGGCTGGGGGTTTTTTCAGTCATGGCACTTAATTTCTTGAAAAACATTATTTTTTGCTGCTGAAAAATATCCATAAATACCAAATATTTTTCATCTCACTCTGAGGTGTAAGAATATGCCTTCTGCATCCTTACTTTTAACACAGAGAGGAACAAACAGTCCTGCAAGGCCTTCCAGCACTGTCTACCTGAATGGATGGCTTGAATGGCAGCAAACATCTCCCTTTACAGCTAACTCTTGAACATAACACTCCCAATTCCTATGACTTGACTATCCCACCTTTTCCCAGCAACAACACAGACTAGACTTGTATAAATCTGTACACATTTCTTTTGTTAGATTTGCTCCCAGAGTCAGCAAAATCTCAGTACAGCTACACGTATCAGCAGAAACTCTAAATTAAGCTGCACAATAACCTCAGGTCCTCACTAAAACTTTATTCTACCAGGCAGCTTTCTGAGACTTTCAGGCTCTATAGGCACATCTACATAGTACTACATATAAACCCTTCAAATTAATTGCATCCAGATGGAAGGTTGGCATTTGCAGTACCTCATGCAAGCTCGACCTCAGCTGATGTAGGGAGATGTTTTCTGCTACCAAGGCTAGTTCATCCAGAGTCAGCCCAGCTACGTACCTTCAGGGCACCACCCTGCACATCTAGACAGAGCCTAGGCATCAGCAACAGCTCAGACAACATATGTTTTGTAAATCCTAGCCCCATTGCTCTAGCTAGCAGGATTTTTTTTTTTTTTCCCCAAAAGAAACTATTTCTGTGTTGTGCCCGTTCTCCAACAGAACCACGACTTTCTCATTTTCTCAAGCTAAGCTCACTGCAAACAAACTCAGTTCCTCCGAAAAGGTTCATGGTCCTTTGTGAAGCCTTTGCTGAGCCTTTTCTGAGTCTGAGCTGTCTCAGCGCTTTGGATCGTCATTTCAAAAACTAATGCCTTTCTTGCAGGAAGTATACCAAAAGTAAAAAGTGTTTAATACACAAACTGAAACCTTAGCTGACTGAGAAGAACTATGTGCCTCCCGGTGGAGGTACTCAAGTTCCTGTCAGTCACCACGTACACTTCAATGCCATGCCCATGCTCAATGCCATACTTGTCTTCAATGCATTACGGTACACATACATTCACACTCTGGGGACAGGAGCTGTCTCTCAGAACCATCAACTGTCACTTCATGTAGAGCTATACAGCTATGAACCTGTGTTTGAGAATGGAGATGTGCCACTAGCATTCACACCTGGCAGTACTTGTTTCCTTTCAGTATTGGCGAGGGTACCACTGCTGACAGGCTGGTTTTGGTAGTGGGGGAAGGTTTGCAAAAGCTCCCCTGGTCCAAGGTCCAGCCATCCCAGGCTGAGCTAATTAGCACTACAGAAATGCCTCTGCAAATCTATATTTGTGAGGGGAAGGACAGCCTTGAAAGGAAGAAGGTGGAGAGAACCTGGAGGAGAGGCCATTGACCTGAACTAAAGACAACCATTGGCCTAAACAAAGAGAGAGCTTCGTTGCCAGGAGGAAGGAGGAGAAGGGGGAGGACAGAGAACCTCAGACACCCAGTTCAACTGCATGGAGTAGGAGAAGGCAAAGGAGGTCCCTGCAGCCCACGGAGGTTCAATGGCCATGTGTAGGACATGGAGATCTCCACACTGGAGCAGGAAAGCTGAGCCCAAGGGCAAGTGGGACTCAATCTAGACCCCGAGAGATGCTCAACGCCAGAGTGGGGGGGTGGACCCCCAGAGTCAGGGGGTGAGGATGTGTGCTGGACGTGAGGTCTGTCTGCAGCCTGGGGATGTCCCCAAGCTGGACCCGGAAGCTGAGCCCAAAGAGGTCCATGATTCCGTGGGAAGCTCACATTGGAATGCTTTGTTCCTGGACTTTCATGCCAAGAGGAGCAGCAATGGTGAACTGATTGCAACCCCTATTCCCTTTCCCCTGTGCTGCTGAGGGGGGAAGAAGGTAGAGAAATTGGGAGCAAAGTGATTTGAGCCCAAGAAGAAGGGAGGGGTGGGGGGAAGGTGTCTTAAGACGTGGTTGTTATGTCTCACTACACTACTCAGATGAATGGCAACAAATGAAATTTATTTTTATTCCCCAAGTTGAGTCTGTTTTGCCCATGACCATAAGTGGTGAGTGAGCCGTCCCTGTCCTTCATCCTAATCTGTGCCCCTTTGTTGTGATTCCCTTCCCATCTCACCAGATGGGGGAGTGAATGCAGGACCACATGGTCTACCTGTGGTTAAACCACCACAGAATCTTGTTTACTATTGATTCACAAACAGTACATAGCTGTTCCACAGCAGCAAGGCTTAATGCCCTCATAGCCATGATGTTTTAGATATAAGACTTGAGAAAAGCCTCACACATTTGAAAGCTTGTCCATTTTTTCCCCACTATATCAGGTTGGCCTAAAAAAAGACAGCACTTGACCCTACAAGCCTGGTCTTGATGGGCTCATGTTGGTTGGGTTTTCCAAAACCTGCCTAACCTCAGCAACAGATTGAGGAGTAGCCAGGAAGCTTCATCCACAAAAAAATGAATTGTCCTGAATGATGTCTCTGTTCACACCACCTACACAGTAGGACCAGGGGTGCACTTTGGCATTTCAGAGCTACAGGACAAGAAGGAAGAGCACAGCCCACAGAATAAATGAGGCCCATTCAGCCATACATCGCTCTGAGCCCAAGTTATTAGAAAAGAAAAACATTCTGTCTAGAGTAGTGGATCTATGATCCCTCAAAAAACCCATAGCATTTAAACAGTCACAAATGAAGAAGGACAAGAACATACACCAAAGCACCTTCCATTCACTCAGAGGTTGGTTTTGTACTTTAAAAACAGCAGCATCTTGTTACTGGCGAACCTGCAGAATTTCAGTAAATGCAAGAGAAATGCAAGAGATGGTTGAAAGAAATTGACAGTTACAGATTATACTCCTGTGTACTGAGAAATGCATCATGAGTGAATGTGAAAGACAAAAACTTCAGAAAAACATAAAAAGGATGAGAAGCAAGCTCTTAAATTAATAAAAACATGATATAAAAAATGCCAGTACCTGATTTTACAGCGGATTATGAAACATTTTCCCATTGATTTTTAATGAATAATTTCCCATAATATTTTCTTGCAGATACTTCAAATTGTTACAAAAAGCAAATAAACTCCTCAAAATTACACATACATGCATGCAACAGTTAAGAATACGAATGAGTTGTCTATTTTAGGCTCCTTTCTCATTTGCTCCAGAAGACAGCAATATGGAACCAAGTCCTAACATCAATGAATTCATTCTGTTTCTACCCCAGTGTAACTGAGGACAGAATGATCATAGAATGAATCATAGAATCATAGAATGTATTAGGTTGGAAGAGACCTTCAAAGGTCATCTAGTCCAACTCCACTGCAGTGAGCAGGGTCACCTTTACTACAGCAGGTTGCTCAGAGCTCCATCAAGCCTGACCTTGAATATCTCCAGAGATGGAGCCTCCACTACCTCTCTGGGCAACCTGTTCCAATGATCCACCACCCTTATATTGAAGAACTTCTTCAAACTGATTGCTTCTTCAACTCATCAGGTGGCAGTTCTGTACATAGACTTGACCTGATCAAACATCAATTTTAAAAAATAGTTAGATTTAAAGAGAATGGCAGGATGGTTTCCTGAGCATTCCAACAAACTTGAAGTTAATAAATCTGTTTAAACATGATGTGAAAGTTCTCCTTCATCATAATTTTGCTGTATTTGAAGCTCTCCACAGACTAACAGCTTCTTTGTATATTTAAATTAAGGCTAGACTGCCAGCCTCCACTGAGTACCATAATTCAAGGTGCTGTCATTGCTACTACAATTGATACAGAAAGGAGGAGGCTGTTAAAATTGTTAGTGAAGCAACACTAGAATGAAGGGAAATGCCTTAACTCAGAAAAAAAGGTAAATTAATGTTTAAGGGCATATTTTATTATTTTATTTTTTATATTATTTTATTTTTGGTCTTTTAAAGACCAAAAAAGAAGAGCTATTTTGGAGCTTCTAAACCACCAGGAAATAACATGAAAGAAGGATATGTAAAGGAAGGTACCAAGATATTGGGAAAATAACAATTTGTTAATAAACCTTTCTACACGTAATGGGAAATTTAAAAAAGTATAATCCAGAGTTAACACATAAAGAGCTAGATGATTTAAGAAGGATGTCTATACATCAACTGACTTGGATAACAGATGTTGTCATTGCTCAACTGAGGAGCCTTTTGCCAGTGTGTGATGCTCTGGAAGGAAAATTTAAACTCTGTGAGGTATACTGGTGTTCTGGAGTACTGCACCACAGGCAGAAATGTTATTCTAGATCATGTCTATTAGTTTAGATCTCACAGACCATAAGGCTGATAGCTCCTCTGATGTCATTCTAGCTGTGCAACAGAGGATAATATCATTAGCTGAATTATCATTGCATATAAGTCTGCTTGGGAAAAATTAAGTTAGGCTACAATAGAAATTTTACCAGAGTAAGAAAATGGGGACTAGCGTTAACATGTCTAATGTATCCTGTGAAGTATGCTACAATATTATCCTTAGTCATATAATGTGACAGAGAGTGTTACAGGTTAATTATATGTTATGTAGCTCTAGCTTTGACTTTACTGACTGTAGAATAGTCATAACTTTAGAATTAAAGATGTAGTCATGCTGTGCAAGCTACAAAATTAATTTGTATTTACACAGTATTCAGGTCTTTCAGGAAAATATTTAGAGTTACACTTTCCTTAAGAGCTCCAGAATTCCAATGGTAAGCCCCCTCCTTCCCCTACATAAAATAATTTTATTTTTATTGGACACACTTTGTAAGGAATGTTAAATGGAAAAACAAAAATAGTAGACATCTGACTATTTACTTTATTACCAGTTGTTGGTTATTATAACCCCATGGAGATATTCCTGACTCTCAGTAGTGAAAGTGAGAAGAGAACTGGACCTCTGAGAGCTGTATTTGCTTTGGAAAGGTCTATCAGGGCAACAGTAACAATTCTATTATACTAATTATGTGTTTTATGATATTGTTGGTTTTTACCTGGGCTAAGGCATTGGAGATTTGTGGAATATTTCTAAAGAGTATGCAAAAGGCTGTCACAAAATGCAAGTCTAAATGTATTATGAATAACAGTACAGGTAAGTTAAACTACCAAAGGGGCCAAACCTTCAGTAAAAATAATTTATAAATCTACAAGCCAAACCCTGCTGAAAATAGCTGTATTTAATGCAACAGTGGACACATTTATTTAAACAAACAAACTTTTAGTTCAATACAATTCACTAAATACTACCACTGTCAGAGTTGGTCTATTTGACATTTATTTGTCCCTGGTACAAGTTCCATAGTGGGGACAGATCATCATTCATCAAGAAGCTACTGGAAAGGCACTAATAATCAATCAAAATTTTCCTCTGAACTTCTCTGATACTTGCTCTGGTGCTCTTACCCAGCAAACAGAAATGGAGTGTGAGCAAGCCTCACCTCAGCAGCATGAAGCTGCATTGGTCCTATACTGAAACAACTCCCAGTCACAACAATGGCAAATCTACTTATGGGAGAGAATTAATGTGTGCAAATTCATACAGTGCATTCTTTATGGCTGAGAGAGGTCTCTGATACACATGATACCTAAAACCTAATTTAAAATCATTTAACAGAAATCACGTAAGCAATAACAGCAGAAAAGCATCCCCTTCCCCTCTGAGAGCAAAGTCCAGGGTTTAGTGGGTAAAACAGCAACACATCACACAGATATGCACACATACATACAACTTGGAGAAGGCATCATCATTCACACTCAAAGATAGGCTTAGTTCTTCAGATAAGGACTAGCACCACCCAAGGCATCACTGATAAAGCTCTGGATAAAGTAAGTAAAAACAGTAAGAGATGGAGACCCGGTAATCCTAACTGGTCTGGCCACTACTGTGCTGTGTATTTTCGATAAGTTATGCTGCTAACAAGTGCATCTGAAAGACTTAATACAGGTACTGAAACAGGTGGCAATGTTTGCCAAGTGCAGTTGGGTAAAAAACGATTGAGAAATGCTCATATTTATAACTGTATGGTGAAGGTCCACTGACCAATTTCCATATACTTCCCTTTTTTTGCGGGGGCTGGGGGGAGTAAGAGCACAACAGCACCATCTTCCCAGATCTTATCTCTTTTGAAAATAACAATGAACAAATACGGGAGGCAGCCGGACGCACCAGCCAGCGGTACACATTAGCGTGCAAGAAACCTCAATCTTGGAATATCCTCCAACTTCTCCGGCAAGCAGAGGAGAAGAAGTGGCACAAATTCATTTCAGAAGTGGCATTCGTGGCCTTATAGGGAAGCAAAGAGGATGGAGCTGACACACTCGGTGGGACCCCGAGGTCCAGCTCCCGGCCCGGGTTCGCCGTGCCTAGGACAGCTCGTCGGAGGCGGTGATCCTACCGACAGCCCGGCCGCCAGAAAGCCTCCGGTGCCCGCGGAGGGACACGCCGCCCTCCCTCTCCGGGGCAAGCGGCTCAGCCTCGGGAAAGGAAGATGCTCTTGCAGGAGCGCGGGCAGCGATTCCCGCGGCTGGGACGGGCATCCCCCAAACCGGGAGGACGCAGCCCCAGCGGGGGTGGGTGT